TTTCTCTTTTGTTTGACGAATGGCGCATAAGAATGCCCAAAACTGTTATTGAATGCTGATTAAAATGCAAAAATCGTTATTGAATCTGATTCACGCGCAAATAATCGTCTTTTGCCGTTGGACTCGCAATTGTTCGCCTTTTCACGCAAATGAATGCGCATTTTCTCGTAATGAACAGCAAAAGGTGTAGTCTCCCTATCTAACACTCTATTTAGCGAACACACAACTTCTTCAAGATATTCAACTAGTTTACTTGGTAGTTTTACCATAATTGACGTGTATCTCATTCGTCCAAAAAAAAAGACACATTCTATCTCTCAATGTAACCGAGACGTTTTCTCGCAAATGTCTTCTTTGTCTTGTCTCTAGCTTTGTATGCAGACGAAGATTACAAAACCTGCAAAAGGACCTGGAAAAAGGTTGGATGTTATAGAGATCTGGTGGATGGTAAAAGGGCCCTCCCGAATCAAATGGTCAACATTCGTGATAAAAAGAGCAAGGTCTTTATCCCACCCAAGTTAGATTGGAACAATTATCCGGAGTCGTTACACAAGTACGCGTCAGATGGTCTTGTAATATTTTTGTGTTACTGATTTATGGTTAGAGCCAAGCAAAAGAAAATGATGAGCATACTCCATAGTCTATCAGCCCTTGTTATTTTTTAAGCAGGGACGATAATCAATTGTCTTGCTTAGTCATCTAGTTTCTCTCCATACCATCACAAATGCGGAAAAAAGGTTCCTTTTTTCATGGGCTTGAATAAAAAACACTGCATCCTTCAAGCAACACTTGAGTGGAGCAATTACATCCTCCCGAAGTAATACCGATATTATCATTATCATTACCCCTTTAAATCTTTCAACAGCTTAAATCCAGACTGTGGTAATTATGGACTATGTGGTTCATGGTATCTACCCTGCTTGATATTTAGTTATCATTCTATATTTTCAGTCTTGCTTGCCTGTGCGCTGAAAAAGCGCGCGAAAATGGCTACGATGCGTTTGCTCTTCAATTTTACGGCGAGTGTTGGAGTGGAGACAATGCCAAAGATCGTTATGCGATGTTTGATGCAGCCAAAGATGATAAATGCATTATGAGTGATTTCGGAGCCTGCGATATCAACTCTGAGGAAGAGTGTGTTGGGAAACAGAAAACAAATTACGTCTACGTTCTGGAGGAAGGTATCTACTTTGATACATGTTTTACTCTTCTTCCGGAACACTTACGTAAAAACCTTTTGATTTACGCTAAAATGTTGCACATCATTTTACATCACTTTTCAATTTTTTCAATTTTTTTCTTTTAGCAAATTACATTTTTTCTGAATGAATGACCTCTTTCTAGGTCTGAGCCGTTTCTATCTCGGCTTATTTAATTTCATTATACTTCGTTAAAATGTCATTAGTTTCATTTTTTTCATGAAATTTTAGAACCAAACGCACCCACTGATGGACAATGGAGTGATTGGGGAGACTGGACTCAGTGTGACAAGACTTGTGGAACTGGTAAACAGGTTAGGGAGCGGACTTGCACCAATCCGCCACCAGAAAATGGTGGCAAAGACTGCGAAGGGTCAGCGGAGGATGTACAAGATTGCAAGCTGGCTGAATGTCGTAAGTTTTGACAAAAATCTTTACTAAGTGGAATCTAAAAAACACCTTCTCCGTCGCTGTTTGAGCTGAACAAGACGCGTAAAACTTCGGATTAATTGTCGTTTCTCTCCTCGAGTTCGATCTCTGTTTCTCCACAAAAATAAAGAAGATTTATATTGTTTCAATTCCTCACTTTATCGTAAATCCCCCAAAGGATCCAGATATAGCACACACGCTGTGTCAATCTCACCAAGCAACACTCGCAGAACATGAAGCACTTCCGGGAGACTAAATACCCTTAGTCCTAAAATATATTGAAAGGGATTCTCTTTTTCTTGAAACCTTTATAGAAGTCGCAATCTCTAAAGTTATCTGCTCTCAACGTGCTTCATGTTTCCCATTTTTGGGTCAGCAGTTGATAAAGTGTATTGCGTTTAAAAAATAATTGTTATTGTTAATAATAATAATAATAATGATAATAATAATAATAATAAAAAATGCTTCGTGCTAACTTTCTTTGCTTTTCTCTTGTTCCTGATGCCTTAGTAATCATACCTGGATCGATACTCGCTTCCTTTTTCTCCACGAGAGCCCAAACTCAACATAAGAAAAAATTTGGTGAGACATTCAGCTCAGTATCCAACTAATTGTCTTACCATTCAATTCTTACATAGCAATTGATGGAGGCTACACACCTTGGGAACCTGACACAGAATGCACCAAGACATGTGGAGGTGGCACGCAGAAACTGGTGCGAACCTGTACCAATCCTCCACCTCAACATGGAGGAAAAGACTGCGTCGGGCCGAACGAAAAAATTGAGCCATGCAACGAGTTTCCATGTGAGTAACAAACAACTTGACCCCTTTAAGGGCAATTTAAAATATCTCATAAGGGCTAGGACCCTGATACTGTATCGGAAGTATTTAATGGTCATAGCTTGCATTTTCTGTTATTGGTGAAAATTTTTATTAATGTAGTAGCAATATCAGTTTGGCATACGAGATGCAGGCAATTGTGTCACAGATGTTCGCGTCACCTTTTTTGGCGTCTTCTCTGATTTTTAACTGAACTGGCGCAAGTGTCGATGGAATATATTTGCTTTAAACAATGAACAGAGAGGTAAATTGGGGGAAATTACACACTTGTCTTGTAGTAAGCGACTCCTCGAAGCTTTATTTCTGTTCAGGTTATCATTCGAGCAGCAAAGAATGCTATTGGTCTCTATTCTCTAACCCACCAAATAATCTCGCAAACATTTTCAAAACCGACTGCCTTGTCTGGCAAAGCAGAGAAAACAGTCATTATGGCACCTCAACCGTGCCTCTACTCTGATAAATCATGGGTAATGACTCATCACAGAGCTAGCGCAGAATATTTTGTTCATAATATACTGATTACAGTGGAATATTTGGATAGCATGGGTAAGGATTGTGCTGGACTAAGAAGCGACTCTAAACCCTTCTCACTAGAATAGGGGTACAACGCAGATGGTGCTCACTAAAAAAAAATGTTTCCATAGATCTTGAACGAAAGGGTTAACCTGTTATTTGATGCAATATCTACGACTTATTTCCAGGTCCCACCCCATGTACTCGCACTCTAGATCTCGCAGTGATCCTGGACGCAACTAAAAGCGTGGGAAAGATAGAGTTTGAGAAATCCAAGGATTTCGCACTGGCACTTGTGAATTGCATGAACATCTCTCCCGGTGGAACGCATCTTGGACTTATGGTGTACAACATCAACGCCACGATCCTAATAAAGTTTAACGAGGAGGACAAGCAGGAACCTGTGATCGTTAAAAGTATTTTAGACCAAACGAACAAGCTCGAAGCAAGAACCTTCACCGATAGAGCCCTGATCAAGGCCAACGATGAGCTCTTTACCAGTGAGGGTGGAGATCGACCTCAAGCACCGGATGTGCTTGTTTTGGTAACAGATGGACGCACCAATACGGACAGTGTACCATACGATGTCGTACTGGCACCACTCAAGGTTGGTTTGTTAAATATTTCTTGATAGGTCTATGTGTCATTTATGACCAGGCAAGATTTGAGTTGTCAACTCCTCGGCTGTTGGGCTCGGAATAATTTCACTTGATTTGGGTCATTTTGAGTAATCTGCGTAAGAAGTCATCATCCAATCTGTTTTCTGTTGGTATAAATCTACTCTGAGCGTTCTATTGCAAATGCTGTAATTTGATTGGCTGCAATATTCGCTATCTACTCAGTGGACACTAGGTAAAGCGAGTGGCCTAACAGCGTGCAGTTGTAAACAAAATAATATATAAGTAGTTAAAACAATTAGATTATTCAATCTGAACTTCTATGCGTGTCTATAGTTGATTTGGGCTGCGCCCAAATCATCGGCTATAAAGCGATGGGGATACGAGGCTCATAGTCTAATTGTTAATTCAACGATAAGAGCAATTGGCCACGCGAGTTGATAAACCCCTTTGAATGCGGGAAAACACTCGACAAGGTTGTAAGTCACTCTTCTTTCGACTCGAGGAATGCACAAACTCTCCTCGTGTTCTTCCCACTTTGCACGCGGGTTAGTGTCTGATGCCGGGAAATAGATTTCATTAGAAAGTGCGCTGTGCGGTTTGATCAGAACGGCGCAAACAAGTTGCAAGACAAAACTGGCCGATGTAACACCCCAACAGGGTCCTCACACGGCCATGAAGATTTACTGACCTACCCTATTATATGGATTTCTTCTTAATTCGCAGGAAAAAGGAGTCAAAATTATCGCTGTCGGTGTTGGTGACAATATTAAGGTCGAGGAGCTGAAAACGATCGCTATGGGCAAAGACGAGAACGTCATCAAAGTTCACGATTTTGACAAACTGTTCTACCAACTGCAAGATATCGTCGATTCTTCCTGTCAGTCGAAATGTAAGTGACACTTCAAAGGCTAAAAAACAATTTCGCGCTAAGCGCAAAGGGATAATGTAATGATTACGTCAGCAGCTGAGCAACTAAGCACCTACCTCTCCCCTAACCCGACGACAGGCAACTAGTAACAAGTTACAGAGTTAGGATCAATGTTGAACTAAGGGAATGATAGTTGGGAAGTTGCTCAGATACTAACATTTATCGGTTTTTTTCAGGAAAAGTTGTTCATCATTTCAAAGACTGAAAGATTAAAGTCGAGATCCTTGGATCAGTATATTTTTAAGAGTCTTTCAATTTTTTTTAATGACATCTTATTTCGACGCACTAAAAGAGAAAAATGACATTCTAAAAACTTTCTCTCTCACAAAATAATTATTCTGCTTTTCTTTTTTAGAGGGATCGTGCATTATCCATACCAACAGTCACCAACTAGCAGCATCCGTTTTTGCCGATTAAAATAGTTTTGTAGACTACATATACACGGGGAAAAGGCAATAAAACGGCAAAATTAATGGAAGTATCTGGTGTATTTTTGTTCGGATGAAGTGGACATAATTTCCCTTTTTATCGAGAATCTATTCATTTGATTTTCCGCACAAAATCCATTTTGGCTAAAACACTGACTTCTGGAGCCTGCGGCAAGGCCTTTTAAGCCCGTTACATTTAAGTGTTGATATTTAGGGACCCGATATTTAGGGGCCTAAGAATGCTTGAGTGTCACACCAGAGTACGCTGTGGTGTTCCACCTCATTATATACCTTATCGAAACGGCCAAAATGTCCAAAATTCTTTACATTCGCCCTGACCAACGGTTAACGCTCGAAATTTCAGCTTAGAAGTTCTTTACGGTGGTTAATTCATATTATCGACTCTGTTGAAAAAACCACATTTTTTTTCACGGTCGTCGAGATTGACCTCTTATCTGCGTGTAGAGCAACTTGTAGTAGAACCAGATCAGGATCCTAGTGGCTCTCATCCGGTGGCGCTCAAACAGGGCGTATTCCGATTTCTCTTGCATGAAGTGACCATGCAGAAGTATTGCTACTCTTTGATTTGACTTGCACATGTATAGGACTTCTAAAGATCCTGATAAGATTCCCTCAACTGCACTCTCTTATGACGTCGGTCATGTGTCTTGTCCAGAAACTCTGGATTTCACAAGAAATATGCACATCCCGTTGCTATCAACTCCTTGTTTACTGTGAGGTTCGTTTTCCTCGAGGAAAAGGGTGAGAATTTTGCAAGCAACTTATGAGTGGTCTTGCGGCTGCTTTGCCGAGTCGGTAGGTGAAAAGTTCCTTTCATCAAAGATTCTATGTCTTTCTCTTCTTTGATCAGAGCGTAATTCAGTTAGCTGCTCCAGCAGCTTTGGACACGTTCTTATCAGATGACTTTGCGACCCACATTTGTGACATGTTCGTTCGACTCGCCTCGCATACGGACAGTTTTTCATTCTGTGTCCATTCATGTTGCAGTTGTAACAGAGACTCGTGTACTTTCGAGCGCCTTTCTTAACGCGGCATTTTCGTGACAAGCTTCTGACGTTTCCGCCATCCGGGGAAGTCACAAAAACAGCAATCGTTCCTTTATCTGAACTGACTGTTTTGAATTGAACTTTCTCTCCTTCCTCGAGGCTGCGGTATCCTTTTGATTTTATGGCGCTCTAAAAATGAATTGAGATCAAAGAGTTAAGTAATGAACAGTTGAAAACAAAATCCCTAGCCATAGAGTAGACAGCCGCAGTACCATCAATAAAAAGCTACATCATTAGATACATGTATCAAGCGCACTCAACTAATCCCACGAAGCAGGCCTGCCCACGAACAAATAAAAATAGTTTTTAATTCGTTTCTCATTGGCTGAAATGAGTATTTTGACTCTAAAGCCTAGTCTAAACCACGCCAGATAAATAAATGTTTTGAGAACGCAATTGTATTTTCCACTGTCTAGCCCACCGTCTCCGCTGATAACGGTCAATCATTGTCCAACAAATTCGAAACTCTTCGAAAACACCCTTCATTACGGATGTATTTGAAAACAGCAGCTTTGCGTTCAAGTGAGAAAAACAGTTTGAAAACTGACCTTTTTTGAAATCGCTTACCATTACTTTGCGTTTTCCCAAGGATGCATTCAATCCTTTTTGCAAACGGTAATCGTTTTAGCGAGCACGGAAAACATTTATCAGTTTCCTAGTGCGAACAAGAAACTTTTGAGTCGTTTTCAGCGTGAAAGCGTCATCTTAAAATTCATTTAGCGCAGTATGTCCGAGATCAACCGTTAATATATACAAGAATTATCATTCCTTTGAAACTGACATCACAAAGTGCCTCATTGCCGGTAAAATACGCTTTATACGTCACGCTTAAGTAAGTGTAAGTAAATGAAAATTTAGTAGGAACCAAGCAGTATTTGCGGTCAATTCTGGACCAAAGGTGGACGGAGTTGTTGTCTTCCATACTCTTTTATTTCGCCTAGTTTCACTGGATGGCGCTAGGCTTGAGAAGAAACCAAATAAAAACAAAAGTTATAAAACCTTTCAAGTTTTGCGACCTCAGAAAGAAAAACAAAAATATTTTTTTACAACAAAAACAATGAGTCATCATCTCGGGTCACAAATACAAAAATACAAACGGACCAAAAAACAAACATTTATTTTTTGCGGGAAACCTGTTCTCATAACCCCAGTAGGTTCAATCTCTCTTCTGCGAAATTTGATCGATGGCGCGCTTCTTTCAACCTTAGCTTTAGTGATCGGCAATTTATGCAGTGAGAACAAAGCTGTTGTTTGTTTTTCTTCATACTGTATGCACGCGCAAAGTTAAATAATATTCAAACAGTAAGAAATATTTACAGCTGTCTAAGGTTTAATAAATTTCAGCTGCAGAGTTAGAAATTAGACGAGATTTTTGAAGGTATTTCAAAAAATACACGCCAGAATAACCCAAGATACTTTTTGAGGTAAACATTCTGTACAGAAAATGTCCGGCTTTAAATTTCATACGCTATTTCTGAGAAAAAAAAATCCTTTTGCGGAGATCAAGTTCCTTCGGCTTCAGGAGATGAATAGACCTGAAAATTAAATTAACTGCGCGACTGGAGGCCATTGTGGGAAGAGTAGACAAAACAAAAGAAAGAACTAAGTATAACCAAATTAAAATTGAACGCGAGTATTTCATCATTGATGACAAACTTGTAAAATGAATCAATATAAAAAATTATGGAGTGTCGATGCAAGCAAAAAATTTTCAGTGAAGATGAAATATTTGGTAACAGCAAACAGGAATCCTCAGACGAACGGCCGTTAATAAACTAGAGGGCTTTTACATGAAAATATGAAAATACGAGTTCTCTAATTAATGTCGCGTTTCCAAATAGAGTTGGACAAAGATATGTTAAGCATAAAATATTTTCTGATTTTGTGACAAATTCCAGCGACAAAATTAATCACCAAATATAGATAACTGTCACTTTTTTTCCTTGTTCAGGTCAGATGAAATTTGAGCCGGAGAAATAATTATCGTTAAGCAATGAATAATTGATTACTGGAAGTGCTTTTCAGAACACAAAAACAAAAATTTTGAGTAATACTTGTACACCGCAAAAATACCCAATATCTTCGTTGATGCAACATAGAAAATCAGACAATCCTCTCAACAGCATAAAAACACGGCGATCATATCAAACTTCTTGAAATAGATTGTCTTACTTGGTGAACAAAGACATCTCCTTTCGCATCGTCTCTCGTAATAAAACCGAACCCTTTGGCAAGATTAAACCATTTTACCGAGCCAGTAATTAGCTGATCTTGGCCTTTGGTATCTTCGCCTTCTGTGAACGAAGAGTATTTTCTGATTTTAGTATGGACAGATGAATCTTGGGCGCGCACCAGCTGTCAAACAAAGGCATGCCTTTGTTGGCTGGGAAGCTATAATGTGTGTCAGCCTTAAATTTTAGTTTCTTGCGCAAAGGCAAAACAACCCGGCTGAAATGAAAACCTCTTTCAAAATTTCAGTAAAAGAACTTTCTTAGGCTTAAGAGAAAGTCTGAACTTCGAGTTTCTTAGCAGAAATTTGTTTACTGCTTTTCAATGCCTCTGTTGTTAAACCGCGAACAAATATTGTCCTCGATAAAGATTTAATTTAGAGAAAACTTCATCTCGGTTTATGTAATGATTCGATTTATCAATCAGAGCTAGGCTGTACTAAAAGGAACGCTGGAAGCTTCAAAAATTCAATATTATAGAACATAAACGATCTAGATACCTGACATTTGCCCAGAAGTCTTTTGTCACCAGAACTGAATGGAATCGCTACTGAAATATGCGAGCGATCTAAAGAATACATCAAGATTTACCTAAATGTGGCATACGTTTCAGTGGCCATTTCTATCAAAAAGCCGCGGAGACGATGAAATGCTTCTTATCTATCACTGAATTGTGGCATATTTAATAACTCGAAGCCCTGGGCTTTCGTTTATCTACGAACCAATGGGACAACTCATCTACAACTCGTAAGTAATCTTATTTTAGCGCCACAAAGAAAAGTGTGTCAACAATAATATAAAAGAATAACTGATTTATAGCATGCCCCGGGAAATTCTGCTTTCGATTGGCTTCTCCTGATTCCGGTTTTTGATGGCGACACAGGCAATTATTCAAAGCTGTTCTTTGTAATGCGACTCGCGATAAGTGGCGTTTTCAAGGACGATATCAGTAGTTGATATCATCGAAAAAAGAACACCTTCTGAGAAAATTTGAACTTTTTTTGAAAATCGTGTAAAGTACTTTTTTATGAATATCAAAAAATTTTAATGCCTGTTGGCGGTTTCATTGACTGCTCCTACTTGGGTTATAACTTTTAATTATTTTTCCACGTTTCATATCTGCTAATCCATGCACTAGAGGCCATGGAGATAATTCTAACGATAACGCATTTGTTGGCCGAAGGTAAGATTACTGTGGGAAAGCTTTGAATAGTCATTGAAATAACCCAGGTGTTGTCTTCGACGTTTCCTGCAGATGATCGAAAATGATCCGCGGAAAATGTTTACCGCACTTTTTCAAGCCTTAATATTCTCTCTCTTTTTTTGTTTTTGTTTTTAGAAATGAACCATGTTAAAAAAAAAGTAATTCGCGATTGTTTGGTATTTATTCCAATTCCAAATTTCGTTGAGAAGTTTGCTGTTATGATCGAGTAGTTAATTGGAAAAATAATACCGACCGGCATGATAGTGGTATGACGAAAAAACAAAGAAGAGATAAGCTGGCGAACGTGACAAATGGTTCGGTTATCTCTCATTTTGATTTAGAGGCATCCTCATCCCCAGGCTACTTTTTCCATTTTGGAAGGGCATCGGCACCCTGGGCACGAAAGTGGCTGTAACTTTTGAAGAGGAATGGGCCCGTGGTTCTCCCGCACAAGGCTAAGCGATGAGAGGAATAAAACAAAGTTTCTACCCAATGAAAGCTCGCTTGGTCGGCATGTAAAGGGAGAGGAGACGGTAAAAAATATATTGAGCGCGCGGGGGGCACAAAGTGCTACTCACAATCGATAGGGTCTGAGAGCGACGAACATGATTCTCATGCTCTTCGCCCTCAATATACTTTTCATGTCTCCTTCCCTTTCTATGCCAGCTATCTCGCAGGGTCATCCTACCTCGGACAGTCGAATATCACAAAATTGTATTTAAATAAATGGTTTCTGACTAAAACTACTTTATCGTCTTTTCGCTTTCGGTGAATCTTTCCAGAAACCCGATCTTGTAGTTTCCCAGAAGTTTCTGGAGGAAATTCCAGGTAAAACTTTCAGATTCATCGCTCCTTTTCTCGTCGCCGGCGTCTTTGCGAGGCTCTTCGACGTTAGATTCCATTATTCCATATCCGTAAATCTTGACGACTCTATCGACTTCCTTGTGAAAGTTTGCGTGAACTTTTTGTTTATTTAGAATGGGTACAATCATGTTGAATTTATCGATTTTTTTATTAGTGTCCCGCAACTTGTCGTGAAATTCCTTAAGATGACGCTCCCACTTATCGGTTGAAAGTAAAGTCAAAGGACTAGGCCCCAGTTTCTTTCGTTTCTGCAAAAGGTTCTCTCTGTGTCTCTCAATATCAAGTCTGATCTCTTTCTCAAGCGCAATCCATTCGGGTGCAAATCCTGAATCGATCAATACTTTATTGAGCCTTCGAGTTGTTGAATCTGAAAGCATCATGTAAATGAAAAAAAAAATTGTGTATGTAATTAAATTGAATGAAGGGCACTCAAGAAGATAATAAATAATTGACTGACATATTAATTAAGAAAATGATGACATGACCCCTTTTCCTAAAAATTACAATTACATATTATAAAATATTTGAGGCCCGCAAAATAATTTATTTAGAACTAAAATAACTCCAGCCAGGTTGTATTAATAACACATGGATAACACATGGCAAGGGGTGAGTGGGAAAGAAAGAAAAGATGGGAAAGGAAGTTTAGAGAAGTCCCCATCTTGATCTTTCTCCCTAACCATTACATCTCAAATCTTATGCCAGCAACAATGGCTGCCATGCTATGAAGATGACTGAGAATGAATCCAACCCCAAATAAACACAACCTTCATCAAGGGTTGATACCAGAAGATTTCTTTGCTGTCTAATCATCTACTACATTGGCACAACATCCATAGAAGCAACTCGTTACCAATCTAATCAAGGGTATGTTACCTACCAATATAGACATCCTGCTCAAGCTTAAGTGGTTTTCCACTTCCTGCTAGGTTTTTAAATTCTCCTTTGGACATGGCCTCCTGAATGAGGTCCTCCACTAGTCTGTCAATGACCTTGGAGTGCTTTGATCTTCTTATAGCCCTCTTTTCAGGTTCTGCAATGGATGTTTCTTGCTCTCCCAAGTGCCCATATTTATGATCAATCACTTTGTCTGAAGCTCTCTGCACACGGTGCTGTTGATACTGCTTCTGTCTCTTGGAGGGTGAGCCAAATCCAATTCCCTCATATTCTAAGTATTGCCTGAAAATCAATTTTACAATCAAATTGAAAAGGTGAGATAACTCAAGTGAGAGACTACCAGAAAAATTTCATCAAAGCCTTATTTAGGGTGATGATGAATGTGATCACAATTTTTGATGAAATAAATTTCATTTGACCAGCAGTCAAAAATCAAGCAAATAAATGATTCTTGCAGGTGAGCTGCAATTTAGGCAATTGCAGGAAAGAAGCCTGAAAAATTTTAGACTTTGACAGGATTTAAACCTGTGCCTCCCAGATATTAGTTAGGTGCAACTAATAACTAAGCTATGAAAGCCATTGGTTGGAAGCAAGGCAAATTGGGTTCTACTTTCCAGTGGAGGAATTTGATTTATTTTTAAAAAATTGTGATCAACTTCCTCCAAGATGAATGTAATATCAACGCGAAGAGTGGAGACCTGGAGGATTATGGTGTGAGGGGGACACTCTCATGTTACTGTCCTGTCTACAAACAAACCACTCATCTAATTGCAAGTAGGTCACTGAAGTTGAACTGAAGACTTATGAGAAAAACATCCAGCTAACAACCATAGTGGACCTCTCAATCCATTTGGCTAGATAGAAGATGTTAGGAACTTCTTGAAATAAATCGGTCCTTGACTGAAGATTTGTCAGATTATTTTGACTTTTGCCCCCAGAAACTTTCATATAAAAGACAAAAATTCATAAGTGCAATGTAGATCAAATCTAGCGACACCTGGCTCTGGAAAGAGTTCATTTCCCCCTATGAAGCTTTACTTCAAAACATATAAAAAACAAAACGGAAAAAAGAAAAGGCTACTTGTCTTTTCATGAGCGTGGGAAAAACAAAAATCATACGGTCAACATAGGGAATCGAACCACTGGTGTGAGGTGCGATGCTTTAAAGAGGCTCAGATTCGTTTTCTTTGACCCACGCTCGTGAAAGGACGACTTACATCTACTGAGTTCAAAACCTACAACCCCTCCTAGTCTTAAACAAAAAAAGTGGTAATTATATTGATTATATCGACAAAGAAGTGGAAAAAAAACATTTTGTCTAAAACAGGGTTGGGGAATGATTTGAAGGTCTCAGAGACATGAACTTAGCTGAGCTGACAATAAGCGACCTTCCCCCTCCTGCTGCTAAAAGATCTCCATCTACCCACTCGTTGTTTGTAAATTTGATAACAGTTGGTGGAAGACAGTACCTATGTTGTGGTGCCGTGTGATGAATATCAAATATCTCCTTCTCGAAGTCTTGATCGCTTACTTCTGAGCCTTTCTGGGACGCACTTGTTACATGATCCATGACCACTCTATAAGCATGTTCTATTTTTGAAAATTTTGCTGCATCAGCCGTGTTTCTTCCACAATCCGGGTGATATAATTTGGCGAGCTTCAGATAAGCTTCTCGCACATCTATTACAGTGGCGCTCCAATCTACTCCCAAAAGAAGATAACAGTCCTTTACCTTGATGCTCCGTTCCCAGGTACATAGCATACGGTATTTTTTGGTAAATAAGAAGTAGCCTTGTAACATCACATATGTTTTATTTCTATAAATGCGAGACAAAATGCAGTGGAATATACCGGGAATTTGGGAAGCCATCTTTGTTGTTACGAAGGTTGTTATATAATCATACCATTACATAATATACAGCTGCTTAATTATCGCAACCGCTGACACTCGAAGAGCGCCTGCCGTCATCGACCTTTTGAACGAATTTTTTTCCTTCCTATTGACCTACTACCGTTGTTAAATTTCTTGACAGTTCGGGAAAAAAGGGCTTCATATGAGCATCATGAAAATTAGCGAGAGTCACAATTATTTCGGTAAGGTAAACTCTTACTCACCCCATTTGTACAATTTGTGTCTTCTTGTTGGGTGCAGTTCTCCTATAAAATGATACAAAGGCTAACCTAACCTTTACTAACCTGAGCTGAACAGTGACGTATGGAACAAACACACTAACCAGAATTTCTTACACGCTGGGTCCTGACGAGAGAATCGTAAGCGGGGAAAAACTTGCCATTTCTTTGCAATGAACTGTCTTTAGCATGGGCACAGAATCAGAATGTCACGGTTTAATATGAATCATTACAATTAGGAGTATAGACTGAATTATTATCATTATTGGGGTAAATAAATACAATCAAACCTATAATCATGAACTTAATTTTAACCTTTCTATTATACAAGTTAAGATAGCAGGTATTCTTTGCATTAATACGAATACCTGTCCGCTTTGGATATAAAACCACTATGGAAAACCTTGACAACATAACACACCGAGAACCAGCCACCAACCAGTAAGTGAGATTGAGGGCCCGGGTGGGGAGGGCGAGAAATAAATCTCGTCATTATTCCCACCTTCAACCCCATTACAGTTCTCCTCATTGCGCCCTTGTATCTTCTCATGGAACAAACAGATAAAAAAAAAAAGGCGAACACACAAAAATAGCGAAATGCTGCGGGCGGTCTATCGATTTTTAAGGATAGTTCCCTCTAAAAATCGAAAACAAGTGAAAATACTTGAACACGTTTGAGCTTAAGTATAGATTATACTGGGTTTAAAACACCATACCAATAAGAACGAAAGGAAAACACCTGTAGCCTTCCTACAGTCTACAAGCAGTAAAACACGTTAAGCTGAAGGTGATTCCTACAACGTACGTAATATACCTCTATACCACGAATGTACGATATTGACTTATCAGCATCTTAAAAGTTAGGTCAAATGTCAACACGCTGTAAAACTCGTCATTAATAAATGCTGAGATGGGGTCATTGCCCGTCCCGGTAACCTGTCAGTAAATTTACAAGTAAAAGGAAACTTTATAAAATGATTTTCTGGCTACAAAAGTAAAAATTTCCATGGGCGTCCCAGGTAAATACAGTATTGACAAATGTATGACGCAAACACACACAAAGGGAGAACTTGACGAAGAAATCCACCCATTCCAGGTTTCCCTGCTTGTTGAAAAGGTATCTCTCAGGATTCCTCCCATAAGACTGTTTCACTAGCCTGGTCGACTCTTTCATGCTCCTCTCAGGGTTCACTTCTTCCCTAACCGGCCATTCGAATCTACGCTGATTACCAATCGTGCAAGAAAGTCTGTTAGCTACGTTAGTCACCTGTTAGATGCATAAACACGGACTCACGTTCCATACTATAACTTCCCTCGATGTCTTATTCTATAAGACAGCCCCGAACACGAGGCCTTCTCCTAGATGAAATTGGCGTGTTCTTTATTTAAAACTTAACGCCAGGCGGGGAAGCTGGACAAAAAAAACATCAGTGAGAGGGTAAGGTCCTCTCGGCGTTCAGGAAGCCTTAATGCCACATGACATGTTTTTAAAACACCCGTTTAGAAAATAAATACTAAAAGTTTGCATTTAACAACACTAAAAAATTGTATAAAACACAACGATCGTGTAGTTTTATGTTTGGGACACGAAGAAAAAAATCTGTTGTAAATATGTAATGTATCTTGAATGGAATTGTCCTTGTTGATTAAAAGGTTCTTCGCAGGATGCCTCATTTCCAAAAGTCACAATCCAGCTTCTTCGTACACGCAGTAAACAAGTAGAGCTTTTACGTATAACCTTCAACCATAACACATGACTACTTTGTTGAAGGTGACGAAGATGCCTTGGTTTGGTTTACTGAAGAAAGGAAAAATAGAAAAAAATTTAACCCCCACCATAACAGCTTTACCAAACTCAACCAGCGTAAAAAAACTGACATGCTGTTTTAACCCACATGCTGTTTTAACCCATTAACCCTTAACTGGCTTCCAACTTCTCCTTAAAATATCACTCTCGAAAGAGAATAAACAAAATCACCACCAACCAAAGAAGCCATTGATTTTTTATCAAATTCTCCTTGCAAGCACCTCAGGAAATGCATGGAGAAAAGTGTGGAGAATATGGACACTGATGTCAGGATGTAAAATGTTCAACGAGCCCAAAAGAAAAATTCGGCAGCGAATTAATTAAAATAGAATTGAAAATGTAAAGTAAAGAGAACCTTATATAAGGAGTAGTCACTCTCTCAGTTCGCACTTACCAGGTAAATAATCTCTTTCCATCAAGAGATCCATCGTGTTTACCCTCTAGATAAAATGGTAACGAAGATAAACAGTTGACACCATGAACACACCACATACACAAACAGCATCTTATCATTATAAACTAGAGCATTTTGAAGTAAATTTCTACAATTTTCATTGGTCTGTAAAATGCCAATCTCAGCTGTAATCTCGTGAGAAAATACACAAATATTAACTGCCTCCTAACATGAGTGCCGCCACCAAGTTCAGGTCTGATTAACGGAGAAAAAAATTATTGTGTTTATATAGTAAATTTCAGCCCGATTACAGAGGTGACGTTTCAGAATCATTATCGCCCGTAAAGGAAATTTAAGTTCGATTTCGGGAATGAACAAGGCGTGATCTTTTAGGTTTTTCGCGGTTTTGGAGTCGACTGTTTGAATGGAACATTTTCCGGCCAGTTCATAGCTCATAGAAAAACAGGTCAGAAAGATATCCCAGGTGAAGTTCATTTGCATGTGTCCTCATGACAATATGTACTTACCTTGACCTGGTCCCAGTTCCACTCCGATGTATGTATCTTTGCGGCCTGGTATCAGCCCGACATACCTCACTACTCCACGGGCAATCTGTCCACGTGACCTAGTCACCAGTACTCCCATACCCAGTTGGACATCTTCACATGAAGTCGGCGCAAAAGGCTTCGTGAACAGTTTTGATCGAGAAGCGCCGGCTGTGGGAGGGTGAGGACTTGAAGTGAGTAATCTCGCATTAGTAGAGGAGCTTGACGCACCGCCATAACGTTGATGAAGTGAAGTACTTCCGCCTTCGCTGCTGTGCAGGTTGTCCAAGATTCCTGAGGTTATGATGGAAAACATTAACACTGTGATTAAAAAGAGAGCGACTCTAACGAGTCAATTTTAGTGTTATTCATCGTCTTTGTTGTTAGTGTGCAAACTTCTTCACAAAAAACTACAATCATCCATACACTTACCACCGTGATACGAGTGCGGCCTTGCTCTACGCCCACTACCTCTATCATCACGATAGAGAGACAAACTTTGGTTGTAAGCGCTGGCTCTCGGCGACCTTGACTCATCTGTGCTGTAATCGCGGTCCCAGGAAACAACAGACGATGTTGACGAGTCAGGGCTTTGTGGGCGCCATTTTGATTGGGTTGCAGTGAGGTAACCCACACCGTGGTCTAGATCATCCGACATGTCACTTTCTTCTCCCAGGGAACCTATGCGGTGCCTTGGTACTGTAGTCCTGAAGCTGTATGGCTCGCGTGGGAGCGTATCCCGGAAAAACGTATAAGAAGAGCCAGGATTAGTGTCGGGCCTTAGTGAACCGTGACCGTTCATTATCACAGGAGACGACACTTCAATGTCGGCCGATCGTGTGTTATTCGTATCCCACGAACCAAGCCGAGTGCTTCCGAGCGCTGAAGAGTGGCGACTCGTGGTGGCAAAGTTAACTGTTCTTGAGGATCGTGGATCTCTGTAACGATGTTCATCGACTGCGGTGTATTTGTCAAATTTTCTGGACAGGTCTGTTTCACTTTTGGCTTTGCCTAGTCTTGAGCTACCCAAAGCTTTCATCGTTTCAATCTCCCTCTTGGCTTTCTTTAATTTTGCTTGAAGATCTGTTTTTTCTTCTTGGAGTTGCTGTACGTGCTGCTCAAACGCATCATTGAGTGCTTTCAACTCTATAACCTTTCCTTCCTCCCTCCCTCGTTTAGCTTTGCTTGATTCTAAAGATCGCCGTGCAACTGTCAACTAAAAGATAAAAACAACCATGAGTTTAGCGATTCAGTAACCTTATGACTTCAACAAGTGAGGTGTCTTACCAAAAGTAACCCTGCCCAAGAGAGAATAAAGTGAGTCACTTTATCCTCTCTTGCCCCGCCTTTACAGCAGTACGATGTTTCACATCAACTGAACAAAGGAAAGTGATAGTGCTGTACCACTGAAGTCCAAATTTTTCATGTTTGTAATGATCAACGAGTATAAATGCCCTCCATCCTTAATAATCCCCAATACTAGTATAAATAATTATGTATGTTTTTCTCTTGAGACGAATTACTTTCCAAAAAGGCTGTGATTTTAGTGATCTGGACTTAGATTTAGATAAGTTTCCCCCTGTAAAACGTTAGCCGCGTGTGACATCCAGGCTCTACCTGATCACAGCAATGCACCGAGAGCTAAGATGGCTTCCACACGCAATTCCACAGAAATATACACTACACAAAAAGTTTCCAAACCTCCTTTTCGAGATCTGTATTGATTCTTTTCACGTCATCAAGTTGCAGCTCATTAACAGTTTTCAAACTCTCCAGTTCCTCCTTCAACTGCTGATTTGTTCGCTGCAGTGTCCTTGTGGACTCTTGTAGTGAGCTTATTTCCTCGTCTTTTTCGCGGATGGTTCGGTTGAGATTCTGCACTGTCTGCTCAAGCTCGCGTGTTTTCTCGTCATCTTGTCTGGTTAGATTGGCCACAGTCTGAACAAAAAAAGAGTCTAGTTCACTAAATTTCTGAGTAAACATTATGACTGAAAAATTCCACAGAAAAATAAACTGTAGTATCGACTAATGAATATCCCATTTACAGAAATCAGTATGTAGATCACGTAGGGAACTTCTTTTTGGCAATCCAAAATTCCTTTGCACCCAATTAGATGAGGCACAGCTGAAATAAACCTACCTCAATGTTCAAAATCTGCTGTTCAAGGTCCCGATTTTTGGACTGAACCTGTCCAAGCTCTGCGGTCTTGTTCCTTAAATCCCTCGTGAGCGAGTCCCTTTCTGCTCTAAGAGCCTCTATCTCTGATGCTGTTCCCGCTAAAGATGGTCCGCGCTGTCCATCCACAGTGGCGAATGCACTTACACGGCTTGGAATGGCTGATTCGCGAGGAAATGGGGGAGAAACGACCCGAGGAGGTGAATGCTTAGGTCGACTGTGGACAGACGAAGCCGAGCTTTGCCTGCTAGAGCTCCTACCGTGGGAGGCATGCATGGAAACTGGTGGTGTGCCTCGCCTGTAGGCTATCTCTGCGAGAAGTTCTGATGGACTCCCTGCTCCTGACCTTCTATGCCCTGAGCTGCGAACTGTTGGAGTGCTATTCTCGCTGCCTCTGTTGTTTGCTCTTGGGCTTGTTTGTGGCAGTACTGGAGGAGTGCTAGGTATCGATCCATGGCGAGAAACAACCGATGGCGTACCTTGTCTGCGAGCTGTTTCTGCTAAAAATTCCGATTGGCTTCCTGGTGTTGGTGTTCTATGAATTGAACGGTCCAGGACAGGAGTACTATTCTCGCTTTCTCGATGGCTTGTCCTAGAACTTGATGAAGGCAATAAATGAGGCGGTATCGAGGCAGCACCATTATAAGGGACTAAAGGTGGATTGCGATCGCTTTTTGGAATACGCTCCGATGTGCTTTCATCTCCTGATGTTCTACGTCTTGGATCCTCCACAACAGGCGTGCTGGTTTTTCTTTGGTCTCCCATTGAACTTGCTAATGGCGTAACAAGGGGAGCTGCCACTGCTGAACCAGTTGGCAATGGCGATGTACCTGACTCAGCAGCCGGTGTATAAATCGCCTCAATGAGAAACTGAGTCGGACTCCCTCCTTCTGATGTCCTTTGCCTTGGACTGTGAGCTAGGGGTGTGCTATTACCACTTCCACCGTCACTCAAAGGTAAAGTCCTTGGTGGAGCTACCAAAGGGCTAGCTTCTCTTCCAGATCCACTATGAACGGAAAGTACAGGAGTATTCCTTCGGCTCGAGTGTCTGCTGGAATCATCAACCCCTCCAGATCCCCTTGGCAGTTTGACATTGGATTCATGAATGGAGCCTGCAGGACTTCGCCTCATGGCTGGAGGGGATTGAGACCCCTCTGCACCAGAAATGGGTATCCGCGGACTTTCTTGCTGTGATGAAGGGTTTAGAGCTACTAACAAGTCTGATGAGATGGGGACCATGTCAGTGAGATTTACAGAGCCACCTAGGCTCTGGGGTCTTAATGGAAGCTGTGTTTGAACGTGTATAGATCCGAGAGGGTTCCCTCTTGAGGCGGATGGCATACCGGTGGCAGACTGGCAGCGATCTCTTGGAGACATAATTGGAGTTGGTAAACCAGATGAAAACAAGGAACTGCTGTGTACTGATCCGGCAGGACTTTGTCTCGGTGGGGGAGAGTTGGTTTCACGACCACTATGCATTTCTGCACGGTTTGACGTATTTGTATCAGTGACAGGAACTGCGACAGTCTCTAGAACAGAGCCCACGGGACTAGCCCTGGGAGAGGAATGAGCATGTTCCACAGCAGAACCTTCAGTAGGGGTCTGACCTGCAGAGGATCCACGAGCCGTTTCTTCTGTATGATTGCGATCTCCGCCTGGTGTGATCCGTGGAGTTGTGTGTGGTGAAACATCATTTGTGTGTTCTTCAGCAAATCGATTTCCACTTATTGGGGGTGGGCTTCCATGCCTGAGGGTCTCATCTGGCAAGGGACTTATTACAGCATCATCTCTTGCACTTGTTTCACTTGGTATACTGTGAACACAAATGACAAAAATGCTTTCGGAAGTTAAATAGACATGAAGTTAAAATGTCCTTTAACTTATCAACAAAAATAAACGCAGTATAATAGAATAGTGAATCAAAATAAATCAATGACAAAGTTACTAACCTACTAACTGGGCTGTTTCGTGATGATACTCGACTTTCATGCTCACTATGGCTGCTTGGGACTGGAGAACTTTCCGGTACTTCCTCTGCTTCATTGTCTGTCAGTTATCACCAAAATATAAAAGAGAGTCAATCTTGTAGTGTGACGAATAGGAAACAAGGGCTATCAATTCAACTCCCTAATGACAAATGTCTTTAAACACGTCAATTACGGCAAGTAGTAGTTCAAATTTATCTAGATAGTACGCTTAATGATTCTATCTTGACATGTCTGTAAAATCTGGGTTGCAAATGGCTTCCATGAAATGTATAATTTCTAGTAAGCACTTTTTAAAAGGCTCAGGATAAAAATTCCTGCCAAGATGTTCTTCAACACCTCTAGTAAATTGGAGTTTTACCCTCTCTACCTTCAAGTAACTACTTCTGTTGGATAGGGTAAAGTATAAAGTAGCTGGAAAAATTCTGGGTACAATACGGTAAAGCTCATGCTAGAAAGTTAGAGAGGATGCCAATATATGTCAAAGTAAGCGAGTACAAAAGAATTTACCACTTTGATCCTGATCCTGATCCTCTACCTCTTCACCATCAGCATGTGACAGAACACCATCACTTCCATCAGATGCATCTCCTGGATGGCCTTCCACCTCATGTCCTGGCTGTAAAGGGACAGGACGTGCTAGGATTGGACTCTGTGGCCGCAACTCCTCCGTGGAATCTGGCTGAGGTGTCAGAGAAAAGGGCTCATTGCCATGTCTCAGACCAGCAAGATCACTGAAGTCCACTTCTGACATTACAGGTGACTGAACACCACTTCCAGGGACCCATGAGGGCTCACCATGGCTAAGCTGCATAGAAATAACAAGGTGATATTGTTTGATTAACAGGAATTTAAAGAGACTTATTCAGAGAATAATTATAAAGCAATTACCTCATTGTACTAAATTCAAAAACAGTGTGGTCAACATTTAAGACCTCAATATTTCATCGCATGCTATAAACTTGAATAACTAAGCCATTAAATTCTTCAATAAAGATCATTAATTTACCCAAAGTCTGTTTTGTTAGTAGACGGTGTATTCTTAAAAGACCTAAAACTTATATTGCTGAACTTCACATAAACGACAAGTTTACTAGTGCATGGGTTTCTGGCAATTCTTCTTCACCACAATAATTTTATCTCAAGAAATATGTTCAGAAATTCAACATGACCATGTTCACAGAAAGTCACTGATATCTGTATCTGCTAATGAGAGGACACATTTTTCCTCTCATTGGCAGATACACAGTTACTCAGTCAGAGGCAATGTAAACATCACATCTCAAGTAGTACAAGCTAATTACAATGGCAATAATTATGATTCCTACTTCAGTTGGAAATTAAAATTGAAAAATACATCATCAACATGCAAGCTAAATTTTTTCTTTTTTAATTCTACGTAAACTAACCTTCAATTAATGTTTTTTTTTATGTTATATGGTTGAAAAAATAAGTTACAGTACAAGAACAAATCATCAGAGACTGGCCACAATATTTTAAATAACACAAGTTCTTGTCTGAGGATGTTTTACAAGGGTTGTTAAAATTTTAGGGATAGGAAACATGTATGTATGTTGGAGTTCTCACCTTTTTCAAAACTTGGACTAAAACAACAATAATTTCAAAATAATTTAGGAGATCTACATTTTAAAGAAGATACCCAACATAGTTGTACTTACCTAAAATACATCATAACTGAAAGCAATTTATTTTTTATGTTTTGTTTTGTCGTCATCTGATTTTGAGCAACTAATAACATCCTACATGAAAGTTATAATTTACAGACTGAAGAAAACAGCTATTACAGATCATTGAGAATGCAGGAAGAGTTTACAAACACACCATAGGGTAATTCTTGTGTTCACTGTGAGCAGGGTGCTTAATTAGCATGGTTTATGAATACTTAATGATTAGAAGTCAAAATAAAATGCTTCCTCACAACAAAGACAATAAATTCAAAAAAAATTTACATCAATTCAGTACAGCAACTGTTACTAAAATACCACTAAACACTAACCCTTCAACTCTCAATATCTGATTGCTTATTCTCCCCTCCAACTGCTACCAAACTGAATTTTATGGTGTAAGATCAAGATAACACCTAACACCTGATAGATTTGATTATTCTTATTACCCATTTGTTGAAAGATAAATGAATTCATAACAGAGAAGATGCATGTTAATCACTTCTAGGAGTTAAAAGGTTAAATCTAAGACTTTTGAAGACTATTTTCAATCAATAGTTTTGCTATTGACATTGAAAAAATCAGCCACATCAACAAGATGTTTAAGATAAAAAAATCTCACCATTGCCACAAGTAGTACATGTACAAAAGTTTTTTTTAGATTATTGAAACACAAGAGGGTTAGATTTAGATTGTAATGTTGGTATATTTAGAGCAACTTGCATATTGAAGCAAAACCATTCCCAAACAAATGAGGCTAACCCTGGAAGTGATTGATATTTAACTTGAACTCCCTATAATAACCATACATCATCCCGCAAACTGGTACAGAGAATACTCAAACTTATCAGGTTGAAGTTGCTAACTGAATCTTACACCCAATTCTCATAACTTATTCAAAACAAAATGCATAGTATGGTAACAGGAAAAAATTTTGAGCCCACAACCTATTTTGATAAATTTTGAAGACTGTTTGTTGGATAGGAGATCATCAATCTTCTGTTCTGATTCAACAGTTGCAATCATCATTTAATTCTCAGATTTAACTAAAGCCTTGAATTACATGACAACAGTTTTTATTCCACTCTGCATTGCCAGAAAGTACAAAAATTTTTTTTTCAGATTTTGAATAGTTGCATGATGACAGAGAAAAGGTCTTCATTTGTAAGTGTCTAAATATAAACAGAAAAGGCCAATATGAAGGTAGAACCTGTAAATTAACAACTCCTGGGTGGAGTTGAATGGCCAGGTGGCTCTGAAATCCTTTGACTTCCACTTTTCTGAAGTTTTAAAATGTAGTTACTTGTAGAACATTAATCAAAAATAGCAAATAGTGTTTTAGGCAGGTTACATCACTTATTTAGCTTATGTTGTATCTTAAAAATCAAGATCATAGACATGATGTGGTTATCAATGTTTGAGGATTTTTGATTAGTTTCAGACCTAAGGTTTCTCATTATTTCATGCAGACTAGCAGTGTCAAACACAAATTGATCATCACAACAGAAGCACAAGCCCTATAAATATTTTATAGCAGCAGTTTACTTCAATCAATAGAGACTGGTCTTCAGCAAAGGTGAATGATTTTGCACTCACTTGATGTTGTAGTAACTCCCTGTAAAGTGGACTCATCTCATTTAAAACCTCATCTGTGTTTTCTCTTGGTTCTCTTGCTTCCACATCTGCAGCAAAAAAAATTCAATAAAGACATTTCATTCCACAGATGAAAATATTTAAAGAATTTTTTTAACATGATAAACCTTGGCGAAGGAAACTGAGTGTTGTTGACTCACAGCCTAACTCAAGGAGTAACTGAAAGCATTTCTCTTACCAAGTGGATATAGAGGTCTGTGATGGGTTTCTGTTGGTTCTCTCTCAAGTCGAGGAGAGCCTACTTCACCAGTGCTGATTCTTGCTCGCCTATCACGATCACCAAAATAAATGCTGGATTCATGTTGATGAGGATCTGGAGAAGAGTTACATTTGCATCAGTACAGCCTGTAAGAAACATTCTAGCCTAATGCCTTAAGACCTTTGGGCTTCATTTCATTGTGCAGTATTCTAATGAATAATTAACTTCACCCTAACAGCAGCTCTCTCCACCAAAAGAGTAAAAAATGGATGCCACAGTGAATTGTGATGAAAGGTAGAGGTAAGGGTAAGGGTAAGGTCTGTATTCAAACCAAGTGGTCCACCCAGCCAGAGCTTATCCCAGTTTCCTGGATGAGATGCTGGTCCATTGCAGTATTTCCTCCTCCCCAATCCTCCTAGCATTTTATCAAGCTTCACTGACAATTCACCAGTACCCATTTCTATTCCTGGGTGGAGAGATGCACTGTGAGAATAAAGTGTTTTGCCCAAGAACGTAACACACTGACCAGACAAGGTCTTTAACCCAGACCTCGTGACCCAGACACCATGCACCCATCATGATGTCACTACTGAGGTCTACCTTTGGAACTGTATAAGGAACCTAGAAAATGAATCCCGTGATGAATTCAACTAAGATGGGTGGGTCGTACTACTTATTACAACAGAGACAGAAGTAATTTCTGGTTAGACTTGGTTTGAAGCTACTCTGGTTTAAAGATTTAATGAATGTAACCAAGAAGTTACAATTCATAGAACCAATGTTTTGACACTCCTGTCTACTGCCTTCATCAGGGGTGACCTAATGGCTGCAACTAGAGGTCCTTTTATTTGCTCACTACTTTGCTGCCCCTTTTTCTTACAAGGTGTAAATAGGCATCAGCTAGTAAGCCGCCATCATCACGATTTAAAAGAGCGTGGGTGGAAGCGATATGCCTATATATAGCTTCTTTTCTTAATTACATTAAATTTTTAATTAACTATTTGAAAGTCATGCAAGTGCCTGTCACTGATTACAGTAATCAAAGGCATTCTTTACAATGTTCAATTAACAAATTAGTATTCTTGTATGAATCCTCATTCTTACTGATTACAATATTTATTAATAACCATACTGAGTTCATTAAGACCTCTTGATGACATCATATCTTGAACTTTGACTTCAGTTGGTTACCCTTCCAGGACATTTAATTTTGAGCAGCATGCCAGAGTCCCAAACAGTGGGTATAAGGAAAGCAACTAAGTGGCAGTATTTTACCTTCTTTCAGTATGACAAAAATAACATCACTGTCTTCATTCACTGTAAATGGTTCCGTGGAGACAACATCACCACCAATAGCAAGCTGACAGGTATGTTCTCCAACTGGGACCCCAATAGTTTCTGACTCATACAGTCCTTCGCCAAATTTCCGTTGCAGAGTCACAGAACCAGCCTATTGTAGCGAAAAATTGATCCAAAAACTTAAGTTACAGTTTAAAGGGCTGATCGTTTCATTCACGCTTTGAAGCTCATGCCACAAGTACATAAAACCTGTTAGCTTAAAAAGGCCAGTCATTACAAAGCTTTTGTATCAATACTGTAAATGCATTCAATTACTATGTGTTAATGGAAAATCACAAAAACAAGCTTTGACTTATCTTGCCTCAAACTCAATAGACATTTGCCATTTCTAACAAGCTCGTTTCATTTTGAAGAAGTCATTTGTTCAGTTCTGCGACGACAAAACATTACCATTAAAATTTAATGAAGAACCTTCTCGTTACGTTAGACACGTCTCACCACCAACAAATTGTTTTGACGAGTCCATCCTAACAACTTGAAGCAAGATTGTTGAAACGGCGAAAACGAAAGTAGAAAGAAAACAAAAGGCCATTCGCAGAGAGATGCTGTTACTATACAATCAAGCTAGTACATGTACAGAGACAGGAGTAGAGAAATTTTCGCACCAACACAAGAAAGAATAATTGCCAAAGGCCTTAAGAGCAACAAAAATGGCTTATTTTAAATAAAAAGTTGCTTTAAATGCAGAAACTCAAGACAATGAAATGCGTTTTGAAAGGTAAACAAACGAACCACAATCAATTTCTTAACTCTAACTTCCGGATATCTTCTAAATCTGATTACCAAACGTAACAATAGACAAAATTAATACGGTACGTTTCAAAATTATCTCTGTTCCTACGTAGACACTTAGGAATATCTATTTGGGGTTTTAAACTTACCAGCGAGCTTATGAGATGAACTTCTCTCTCGATGCAAGGTCTCGACTTGACCCAACAAAAGCGAACTACAACACTGTCCACTCTACGAACAACTGGAGCGCGGGCAGAATCTGTAAAATCGTAAATAAAACGAAAGTTGAGGGGCCATTGTCTTCAAAGGCTTTATTCCTAATGAAATTTCTTGTTACCCCACTCTCGCAGGCCAAAACATTCAAAGTTAAAACTCATCGTAATACGAGCTACAAAAGTATGCTACACACGACAATCTTTACCTGCATAGGCCGAAGTGCAGACTAAATAGTGAAGCTGCAATTGGTCTAAGCTACCGAGGTCTTCTCGACAAAATCGGCACTGCATCTCACAGAGTACAGCAGTTTCAGTTCCTCAAGAGCCAATTACCAACAAGAACATTTCATTTGTTCGATAAAAGCATGAAAATGCGAGCTATAAACTTGCCAGTTGGAGTATTGACAGGAGGTCTTGCTAATTTGCATGAAATTTGATACAACTGCTCACCAGACCTTCCGCGCGTGAGGTGGTGATGGGCGGGGGAGGGGTGGGAGGGGAAAGGACGGTCTTATGAACATTATTATTGTGTTTTCATAGATGGAACTCAAATAAGTGACAGCCAACGAGTTAAGATTCTCTTAAGGGTCTCTCACAAAAAAAGAGCGTTCTCTGAGCGATTGAAAGAGAAAAAGAAGACAAAGATAGATAGAATAGCAAACAAAAATATTTATTGTGGGATAAATCATAGTCTTCCGATAGTTCATCATTCTGATTGTACTAAAGTCCATAGAAACCGGGCAAAGCTACCGCACAGCTTGAAAAGACTCTCATCTAAATTCAAATTTGTACCCTGCACTTGGGAGGTTACAGATTAATTACTAGGTACATAATGAAAAAACAAATTTTATGCTGCCGCTGTAATTTTGCGGGCTCAAGCCTACAGCGGCTTCCAGTCGCCCAAGAGGGACGTGAATATTATAACCGGACGTACATGTGCACGAAACTCGAGTTATTTACTTTGGTTTTTAAAGTAAACTCGTCAAGAAAAAGCTGCATGCTGAAGCTTTGACGAGGTAGATTTTCGCTCACAAGATGGAAGGACACTTAGCGTTCATTTTGCCGTGGGCGACAGCGGTGATCCTGTGAGGATACATCTGAACATCTGCCATCTCTTATTTAAACAGGAGATCCTTAAATTGCGGACAGTAGCCATGGTTTTATTTGGAATAATATCAGAATTACGCAGTAGAAGTTGGGAAATTAGCTGCCACTAACAGCGGTTAAATAAGCGAAAAAGACAAATATCAAGCTACGAAGAACCAGCGATCTGGTATTTTTAATTTGACTTACGATCGAGATATTGAACGCCAAGTGAAGATCAAAACCTGTGTGGTCCGTATTCTCACGCGAATTTCTACGGTGCCAAAGAGGCGATTTTTTGATCGATGCTAGAGTGGGATGCCGAGAGATTACTGCCGTCAAAACAGAGAACCTGCCGCTGACAGGTTATGGTGAACGACACAGAACGTATACACAACGCGAGCAGTAATGTGTTGTTAACGAGTGGAAACAGTACCTCAAGTCCAAGTCGAGTTCCTTCGAGTTTCATGCCATTTTCAACAGCATGTGTGATACCTTTTGGTTTGCTATTTATTTTAATGTGCTTGGTCAGTATATTGGGAAATTCGATCGTTTGCTACATCGTTTATCAAAAACCCGCCATGCGATCAGCCATAAACATTTTATTGGCGACATTAGCGATGGCCGATGTGCTCACAGCATCGATGTGTATGCCTTTTGCTATCGTATCCTTGATTGCTCAGAGATGGGTTTTTGGCGATATATTTTGTCAAATAAATGCCGTTTTGTTTAGCTTCTTGGTGACAGAAGGGACCTTCGTATTGTTGACGATATCAGTGGACCGTTTCATGATAATTGTCCAACGCAAAGACACACTCACACCTCGAAAGGCGAAAATGTACATTGTTATCTCTTGGATTTTGGCAGTTGTGGTTGTTTTACCTCCCGTTTTCGGTTGGGGTAAATATGGTTATGAGGTGGGTCAAATTCAGTGCTCGCTGGAATGGCCTAGCCGAAGCGCCATTGATTTATCATACGGCCTGTTTTTTTTTATCACAACATTTTCAATTCCGCTACTTGTAATGACATATTGCTTCGGGTCTATTTTAAGAACCGTTCGAAGGAACTCGACACGCATTCAAAATCACCCACCCGTACCTGGTGGGGTGATGACTAAAATGCACCGACCAGGCAAGATGAACATCGACTACAGTTTCAAGACAAGGGCTTTCACCACTATATTAATCCTATTTATTCTCTTCGTAATCTGCGGTTTTCCTTTCACTGTGATCCGCTTTCATTTGCTTTTTAAAGGATATGAGAAGTCATTGTCTTACACAGCCGATCTGGTGGTCGTATTAATTGCCTACTTAAACTCAACCCTGAAGCCCATAATTTATTACATTCGCATCAGTAAATTTCGAGAAGCTTGCTTGGATATTATGCCTTCTTGGTGTCACGTTCCACACTGTTTACCAGGACGGACGATGAGGCGCATACGACCACATGTAGTTTATGAAGTGGACAAAAAATTTGCAACATCAGTGCTTTAACAGCACTTAGTTCACAAAGGTATATTTAAGATGTTTTAGGACAACTCACAGCAATGCTTACATTTTTACAATAGATAGAGGCAGGTTGAGTTTCAATATACTGAACCTAAGAATATATTTATAAAGAGTAATTATTTTATGGTAATGTGGTTGTAAATTTAAAACGTCATACAGATCACACTCTTAATGAGCCATTTACTTCATTTAAGTCCTTCCATTTGGTTTTGTTTTTGCTATGGATTTCAAATGCCCATGATTTCAACATAGTACCAAAGCTTCTATGACAACCAGCAGTTTTTTACTATTTTCCTATTTTTCACCACTAAGAATAGATGAATCTTCAGGGTGGCATGTCCATGATAACTGATTGATAATTCTGTACTCAAGACCTTAAGTTAAAATTCTGAGTCAGATTGGATCAAATCAGGACATGTTATTTATATTAAAATCAGTTCTCTTTGCTATATGCTAGATGCTTCCCACTATTTACCTTTGAGAATTTGGTTTTAAATCAATCATGCTATATCTCCTAATTAATTTTTTCTTTTCTAATCAACTTTCTGCCAATCAATTTACTGATATTGTATAGGGAAATTACTTATTGGTTACCCCTGGGAGTGAGAGGATGAAATGATGCTTCTAAGGACTAGATAGCTGTGTTTATTACAAGCAACAGAACCCAATGTTTCTGTTATCTTATTGAGTTTTTCAAATCTCACTGTCTCTATATTTGATGTATCGGTCTAAGAATCCCTTGTTGAATATCCTGTTTTGGGTATTTCTAAGAGTATTACAGTCACCCAATCTAATACTTCATTTGGTGTGCTTAGCAGTCAACCCTATTTGGTTTACTAGAAAAATTACATATTTAAGATATTTAAGTTTCAGACATTAACAGACTTACCTATCAATATTTTGCAAGTGGAACATTGCAGAAATGTGAACAGCCTCTGTCCTATGAGAATGGATCTTACGTCAGTGAATCAGTCATTTTCATCCCAACAAATTGAAGTTGTTTGCTACAAGTTGTACTGTCCTGTCCCCCTCTGGAGGCCTCGAATGTCAGTTTTACTAGATTCATTTTGTGGCTTTGGGATCAAAATAATTTGTCTTTTAGCATTTTGCCAAAGTCCACTTAGTGCAATGAATTAAAATAGATATTAAATTAATAGAATTGTAAATTATATGTAATAATAGTAATTAAGATCTAATGTTATTAATAAAGTCAGGGAATACAGTGCAAGAACAGTTGTTGTTGATTTCATAGCAAATTAAAACTGGTCAAAAAAAACTAATTGATATTTTAACCTTGAAAGGATTTAGATATCATAGAGGAATCCAACCTTTTAAGGAAAACAAACTGGCTTAAGAAGTAAAGTTTTTTGAAAACTCAAGTTTAGAATAAGTGTTTGACAAAGAAAAGGAAATCAGTCTAGGTTAGCATAATTACCAGGCTGAATAAAGAAATTGCCAGGTTGAATGGTTTGTCAGTTAGTAATTAAAACTCTGGATCTGATCTAACTAGTCCATTTTGTTACTTTAGCTAACAGTTTTATTGTACAATATTTAAATCTTTTGAAACCTCCGTCTTAAAAGAAAGCAGAACAACTTACCAGGCCATCAAGTTACTGGAACCTTCAAGAAAATGGTCCCTGGTTTTTAACTACACCCAGGAATGATCCTGTTTACCCTTTAACCCCTAAGATCTCCCTGAATTACACATGAAGGTCACAAGAATAAAGGAAATGATCACCAACAAAGAAGCCCTTGATTGTTAAACAAATTCTCCTTGTCAGCACCTCAAAATATGTATGATGAACAGTATGGAGAATATGCATACTGATATTGGTGTGTAAAGGGTTTTAAAAGGATTGGCTTTATTTCAAGGTCAAGGATGGAGAAGCAGTAATCCTCATTGTATCTTGTTGCTGAAATTGGGATGAACTCCAGCAAATAGGCCATCTGTCTCCCAAGCTGCCTTGGGAAATAACGGAAAGGAAGGGGAAGCAAGGAAGCCCAGTTATCAGGGCAGTACTGTTAGTTTATTTACCCAATGATCACTGTTTGTTCCTACCTTCATCAAAATTTACATAGAGGCTCCTATGGATGTAAGTCTAAATTTCATTTGGGAATTTTTTAGGTCGTTGAAGGACTACAACATTCACCACCTCTCATTTTTGCCATATTGACAAAAAGCTTCATGAAAGGCTTCAAATTTAAAAGGATGACTATTGTTCTACCTAAGAATGTAAAAAAAAAATTATTCATGCTTGGGGGGTATTGCAGATGTCATAAGTCTTATGCATTAGTACTGTTGTGAAGAAATAGTTCATACAAAATCATCTCAAAATATAAAAACCATTTTTTCCTGGATGAAAGAAAATAAACGTCCACAATCCAAAGAAAGGAAATAGTTATTATTAAAACAACATAAAGGGAACCACTTGATTCAAACTATCACTTGGCAAGTGTCTCATCTTATGTCAAAAACGTTGTATAGTATACCAGGGTATTTAAAAGGTACTAAATTTAAAAAAATATTAAAATGAAACATTCATCTTGTCCAGAAGCCATCAGACACAGGGTGCAAAAAAAAATTGGAACCCAATGAAAAGTCAGGTGTTAAAGTAAGCTTGATGGTAAAATGTTTGTTCAGGTGAGGTTTTCATTACAACTCTCACTGTTAAAGTTGTGGAAATGATGTATTTGGTTACAACTTCCTTTTTGTACAAGAGGTCCATTATCTCTTTTGAAAAATCAACATAATTTTCTATATAACTCATAGCTTTGCCATTTGGCCAATAGCTATCATGGTAAATATTGTTTAAAATTCAAAATATGTAAACTTTTCACTTAAGCCTTTAAACACTTTCTGTGACAAATTAAAATTATACTTGTTTTTCTTATTGTTTTGGCAAGGCCACAATATACTTAAATATGCTAAAGATCATTAGGGTACATCAAAGAAATTGCATACAATTTTTTTAATGAGGATACAATCGATGGGGAATAGCTGATGAAGGTCTGCAAACTACAAAACTTTTTTCTTGGAAGAAGACTCTTCGTCGACTATACTATTTATCAGTATGATTACTGCGGTGATTATAAGGATGCGCATGCTCTGATTGGTCGATGATTGCATCAATCTCGCCATTATCACCTCGCGCTCGGTTACGGCCGGGTCGCACAAGAGCGAAGTCAAATATTTGCCCATTTTTTCGCGAGCCCAAAAATTGGTAAAAGTTTTCCAATTTCCAATTTTTTGCGGCTGTCGCATCAAACCAGTATCCTCTGACAAAATTTCATTGATTGATACATACGTCAATCACAAACCTATCTCCCGCTATTAAAAGATGAAGAAAACTTTCCCGCTCGAATTACTGGGCAAGAAAGGATAGTGTCGAATGATTATTTTAAAAACTTTCCAGTGTTTGTGGAAGTTTGCCTTTCTTTCTCAACAAAATAGCGGAGCGTTTTTTATGTTGTTGGTACTCGTTATCAGCAGGTTTTCATGCGGCTAGTGTCAGCTTTTAGACGTAGAAGAAGAAGACTTCGCCTAAATAGAGCTGGCTTTCGAAATCATCCTTGGTCGAAATCGCCGAGGTCTCTGCGTCCGGCGGAGTCATGATTCGAGGTTGGGACCATGTATCGTACTTCGCTTTCTTTTTTTT